TTTGTGTGTTGTGTGCAGTAAGTGGCACTTTTGCGCTGTGTGTAAAAAATAGTGCTTGAATTGCAGACTTAGCACGCACAAAATAGAAAATCCTGCAACAAGTGCACACTGTGTAATAAATAAGGCTGTATCTGGCACGTAAACACCGCATTTTATTACCGTTGTATGCTGAATGCATAGTTTCTCGTAATTGGTTTTTGTTTAATTAGAACAATGCATAAATAGCTTTCTAGTTTACCCAGAAGAGAATTAGTAGGTTTTAGTCTATTTAAGAAGGCCGAGAAACAGTAAAGGCCGTGGATTTCACCAGCACTTCCCGTATTACAACTATTGTGACTTAGCACACGCTGTGTAATAATTCTTGTGCATACTCGGGTATATGGTAGCGCATTGTGCCGTTTGCGCGAGCAGGAACATATAAACGTTCTCCAGAAGGGCATACTTCTCTATTCCGCACCTTTTCACTAACTCGTCTTTTATGCGCTCTAAGTGCAGGATCAGAAAACCCCCGCATTCGGGAGCAAACTCCGCAGAAAAATCCCTCGAATTTAAAAAGCACGGCCTGTCAGTCCTAATATATTGGAGTATTAAAGCAATTGAATTTTTGTGTTTTTTCTCAAAGTCGTCTTCCAGGAGCAAGAGCGCAATCCAGGAGTGGCAGAGGAAATTAACTAGGTTTTCGCTGTAACTGTCACGTTCAGATTCTGATAAAATGAGGTGGCAAATCTCCAAGGCATTCTCTGGGGAATCCCTGGGGAAAACTACCCCCAAAAGCACTTTCAAACATCCAGAGGATTTCAGGTACTTGCAGCATTTTATGGGATAACCTGAAAAAAATCTGTAGTACCTGAAAAAGTGCATTACAAAATTTTCAAGCAAAAACCCTGGCCCGCCCAAACTGGAGAAAATCTGGACGTACCTTGGAAGGTCCAGACTCCGCAGGAAAAACCCGAACCAGAGCCCCCTGGGATTTTTCAGGTACTCGCTCAGAATGTGTAAATCAGGGATAAGTGTTTTCCATATTTTTTCATTAGTATTCGTGTCTGCACCTGATTTTTCAGTTTCATGCCCTATAAAATTTTTTATAAACCGCAAAACAGGAGTTATCTCAGAAGCATTGCCTGTTTCCCGCATGAAAATATATATTGTAAGAGCCTGCACGATATCTTTCTTCGAGGCAAAGTCCAGCAGGAAAAGGCGAGGCATTTCCACAGGCTGGCGATATACTGCCTCCTTCAGCGTGTATATAAAAGAGTTTGCAACTTCTTCTGGATCATAAACTGTATCGTTTTTTGCCTTTTCAACACACTTTAGAACCAGGAAGCTAAAGAATGCCTGGATTTTTTTGAGGGCCTGTATGTGGGATAAAAGTGTAACTTTTTCTTCGAGGGAGAAAGGAGTTATGCTGACTTTCTGCCCGATTCGGGTCTGGGAATTATCCAGGAAGAAAATATTCGTGAAAATTTCCTTCTTTCGAATGGGGGGAGAGTGCAGAATTTTTATGTTGATACCTGACAAGGAACCTGACGAGGAACCTGACGAGAAATCCGAAGGAAAAACTTCCACTGAAATTGTTGCATTTTCATCCACCAAAAAAGGAAGGAGGAGGGACCTGATGGTTGATTCCATACGATGGTTTTCACTCTCCCCGGAGTTTCCGGGTACTCCACAGATTCCCAGGACCTTCTCAAGGACGGGAAGCAAATCTGCAGATCCTTTATACTCTTTGGACATTAAGCAGCTTTTCAGGTACGGGATCCTGTAGGGATAATGAACAAAAGTTTTCAATAAATTGACAGGATTATTCCCATAGGCTTTGCACTTTTCTGCCTCCTTTTTAATCTCGGAGAAAAATGAGTAAAAAACAAAAAAGTCATTTTTGCTTTCTTCTGAAGTTCCCTGCATCCGGGATTTTAATATGTTGGAAAAGTCGTAAGTTTCTTTTTCTGCATTGTAGGAGAGGGTTATAAGGAGAGTGTATAGGCCCATTTCAGCGTAAAAAAGTGGGTCATCTTTATCGCTGTTCAGTGCGTAGATTACTTCAGGATTTGTGCACCCATTTTCCGAGGAGCCGAACTTCTTCTCTGGGGAGATCTGGAAACTCCCCTGATTTAAAAGTTTTTCATTTTTCCACGCTTTTATACTCGCGTGCACGTTTATAAGGGAAGAAATTTGCGCTGAAAAAATTTCCTCGGGGATTCCAAAAGGCGTGAATATGCGGGAGTAGGCAAAATATGTTCGAGAAAGTGCGTCTATCTTGTTGCGGTTGTTCGTTTGCGTATTTCTAATGGCTGTTATGAGCGAAAATATCTGGTTGTAGAAAGTCTCCAAAAAGCACGCACTTTTAGCGTATTCCCCCATAAATGCTGCAATAAGAAAGTTCTTGCTTTCTAGAAATTTGCCTTTTTCGAACTCGCTAAAAGCATTGGGGAGACTCTGAAAGGGAAAAGTTTTAAAAAAATCAATTATCTGAGAAAGTATTTTCAGAGAATTTCTGTCCATTTTCAGGTTCGCATTTCCTAGGATGGAAACATTAAGACGTATAAGCTCATTTCCTTCAAAAGGCAGGAAAATGTTCCCGTCTTTTTCCTGAATGGGCACATCCACGCCCTCGCTCAGCAAGAAAAGACTCGCCAAAAAGCAACTTGCCTCCTGCTCAGAGCATGCTTTTTCGAGAAATACCAAAAAGAAGGGCTTTTTCCACCCGAATGTCTCCTCCCGGGGGAACATCTGAAGAAAAACAGTGTAAAACCTGTTCAGATCTTTCGGGTTATTCGGGTCTTCAGGCGGGTATGCCCTATCAAGGGACGGAATAGATGCTGAAATCCCCCTTAAAAACTCTGCTAGAATCGGGTTATTCGGGTTATTCGGTCTTGTTTTGGCGGAGGAAAAATCTATGCATATCCCAGGCGAGTAATTACGGAGTCTCTGGGCGTATCCCAAGTATTTAAGCATGTGGAGAGAAGCAGGACTCCCTATCCAGCTGTGGCGTAGCTTCATAATTTCGTCGTCAAAGAAGAAGCCCATCTTTTGCTGGATGTCAAGTGCTTCGGAGAGTTTTTCTATCTCTTGCCCTTGGAGCGCCTGCATGAAGAGCACCCAGAAAAAAAAACAAATGTTCATGCGATAAAAATTCTGCTTTCTTATATAGAGATAGTCTGTGATTTTGATCGAGTTGTTCTGGCTTTTTTATTTTTAACGTGATGTGCAGTAAGTCTGCTATTTTTGGGGTGTGCATAAAATAAAATAAAAAGATTTTGCAGGCAGCACAGAAAGTCCTAATATTTCCGAGGCTGTGTGCAAAAAGCAGCAGGCACTCCATCAACTACTGCACAGGACACAAAAAAACTAAAACATTAAAAGTTTCTGCACAGGACATAAAAACATTAAAAGTTTCTGCACAGGACATAAAAAACTAAAAGTTTCTGTACACGACACAAAAACATTAAAACATTCTGCACAGGACACAAAAACAGAAGGCAAACTGCCAGACCTTCTGCCCAGTGTGTAAAAAGTGGCATAGAATATGTGCTGTATCTCTTTATTTAACCCACTCAGACCGTTTTCTTTCCAAGGCACTGATCCCGCACTCTTCATACTCAGCCTTTGTGATCATAAGTGTTCCCGTAGCTCCAATTGACCCAAGGATTGACCCCCCAAAGAACGTGCTAAACTCCCTTCTGTCGTTGTTTACCTTCACTCTCGCATTCGGATATATGCGCATAAGATCTGCCTGGAGTCTTTCCGTTATCCCAGGCACTAAAGACCCTCCTCCTGAAACCATGACATTTCCCAAGAGCATGTCGTAGTACTCCAAGTCAACGGACTCCATCGCACACTTTACCATATCCAAGAGCCCCATTCCCTCCAGGCTTCCTGCTATTTGCTTCATTGGATCAAGTCTCTCCATCTCCGCGGACTCCCCCAGGAAGAGCTGCTCGGGGATGGAGTTTCTCTCTGAAAAGACGCGGCTTGAATATCCCGTTGCAAATTCGTAGTACTTTGGCTGGCAGTGCCCCAGGAAAGAGACAGACTCCTTAAAGCACCGGGCAACTTCCATTTGGAAAGGCAGTTTCTCGCTTTCTGGGAGACTTTTATACGAAGCCTTCTCCTTAAAGAGGGGCATCTGCTCTAGAGCCACCTTCTGGCGCTCCTCTATCGCAGTTGGAGGAACTAAAAGATCAGTCCCTGATTTCTCTGATTTTTCCCGGAGAAGGTTCAGAACGTGCTTTGTAACGGCTTTCCCGCCTACGCTGCTCCTTATCCCTCCGCTGATGCAGTATCCGTCAACAACGGGGATCACTTGCGTGCTTCCCCCGCAAAGACGTATCATAAGACCGGCACTTTTCCCGAAGCTGAAGCAGTCAGAGACAGCCCCGTTGATAAAAAGCACGCCCGAGCACAGGGAAGACTCCATTAAGTGGGAAAGCGTCTTTTTTCGAGTCTCTTTGTGCGTGAACGGATCCTCGATCTTTATGAGGGGGATGCTCTGCGGGTCGTCAGAGAGCTCGCTTATGGCGTGAGAGAGTATCTCGTTCGGGGATTTTCCTGTTTTTTCAAAGAGGACGGGGTACTCGCTTCCTGCGTATCCTACCTTGTACGTTTCATCTCCTATGTCTGCGATGTGGACTGTATTCTCTCCTACTGTGTACATACTCTGCCAAAGTTTTATTTCTTTATAATAATAAATTCAAGAAGTTTTCGGGCAGCAGATGCGAGGGGGAAGAGGGAGGGGCAGCAGATTCCGGGAAAATGCGAGGGCGTGGGACTGAGATATTGCAGCGAACTTTCCAAGGGCACGAGATGCCTCCGAAAAAGTTCAGAAAAATGCGCACTTTTGCAGCACTTTTTACACCGTGCGCAGGAAGTAATGGAGCATTCAAACCCCAAGCAGCAGCAAATAGAGCCAGACACTAACTATCTACGCATCAGCATATGCTTATTATCGTATGCCAACCCTCAAATGGATCAATATCTAGCATATATCACACTATAAAAATACACATAATAAACACCATCTTACCATAAATACTCTTATAATAACTAAATATGGTAACAGTTATAACTGGCATAGTACTATCTAACTATACTATCTTACCATGTGACTATCTTACTATCTTACTATGCTATCTAACTACTACTAAGTATACTATCTTACTATACTACTACTATCTAACTATTTGACTATACTATTTGACTATACTATCTTACTATACTATACTACTATCTAACTATACTATCTTACTACTACTATACTATCAAACTACCACTATACTACTATCATACCATGTGACTATCTTACTATACTCTGCCTATGCATATACTCTGCTTATGCCCTCTGAATATCATATAGCCAACTCCATAAAAATAAACGCGTTTTTGCAATTTTTTCGATGTCTCTAATTCAGTCCCTCAGCGAAGCCCCAAAGAAGCTCTCGCAGTGGCTAGGCCTGACGAATGCGCCTATCTACATGGATTTACAGGCAACAACTCAGACAGACCCCAGAGTTCTAAAGTCAATGCTTCCCTTTTTCAAGGAGAAATTTGGAAACCCCCACAGCAGAACCCACTCTTTCGGGTGGGATGCTGAGAGTGCCGTTGAAAAGGCAAGGCACGAAGTTGCCTCCCTGATCCGAGCAGATCCCAAGGAGATTATATTCACAAGCGGAGCCACGGAAAGCAACAATCTAGCGATAAAGGGAATTGCCAGATATATGCGGCAGAACATGCAGGGAGTCCCCCACATAATCACATCGCAGGCCGAGCACAAAAGCGTCCTGGATACGTGCCGGGATCTGGAGGAGGAGGGATTCAGCGTCACATACTTGCCCGTTGCACAGAATGGGGCAATTCTGGCCTCTGACCTGAAGAAAGCCATTCGCCCAGAAACTGTTTTAGCAAGTATTATGGCCGTTAATAACGAAGTCGGAGCAATTTCTCCCCTCCATGAGATAGGCCGAATATGCAAGGAAAACAGCGTATTCTTCCACTCAGATGCTGCACAAGCCGCAGGGAAAGTGCCTATCGACGTGAATGCGATGAATATCTCCCTCCTCAGCCTGTCAGCGCACAAGATGTACGGGCCCATGGGAATTGGAGCCCTTTTCGTGAGCAGAAGCCGCCCAAGACCGCGTCTCCAGGGACTTTTCAGCGGGGGAGGCCAGGAGAGAGGAATGCGAAGTGGGACTCTTCCTACGCCCTTGATCGTCGGATTGGGGCGAGCATGCGCCCTTTCAGAGGCGGAAATGACCGCTGAAAGTGCAAGAATCCGGGACCTTTCGCAGTATTTCCTGCAGGAGTTGCGCAAGGGAGTTCCCGACTTAAAGAGAAACGGGGGAGATTCTGCCTTTCCTGGGTGCGTAAATGTCTCTTTCCCGTACGTGGAGGGAGAGTCTCTTTTGATGGCTCTTCCTGGGATTGCAGTGAGCAGTGGAAGTGCATGCACGAGTGCGTCTTTGGAGCCTTCCTACGTCCTGAAGGCGATGGGCGTGGGGGAGGATCTGGCGCATTCTTCCCTTCGCTTTGGAATTGGGCGATTTACAACGCGGGCGCAGGTAAAGTCCGTTGCAAAGCAGGTCGTTCAGAAGGTGAAGAGACTCCGGGATCTTTCTCCCCTCTTTGAGATGGCGCAGGAGGGGATAGACCTGAACACGATCAACTGGAATGCACACTGAGCGGGAAACACAAATAAATGGGGAATGGCACTTGTTTTGGGGCTACTTTTTGTGCACTGCGTAAAAATATGTGGGGAAATGCGGCACTTTCTGGGC